TTCCTGTACTTGCAAGGAGAAAAGGACAACACAGACCACAACCATGCTGTGTTATTATTGAAATTCTTTTCTGATCTTAAAGGTTTCAGTCTAAGCTCTCACATGGACTTAGCTTTAATTATAATATCTAATGGTTAAAATATCTCTATACAAATGGGAAAAAAAGAGGGAACATCAAATAAATTATCGTTTTAGAACAGGAAAATGTATGGTTTACAAGATTAGTTTGAATCTCTGTGATCCAAATTGATTGAATCATCAGAAATGCTACGTCAGTAACCCATGTCTACCTACTTAGCATATTTGGGAAAGATTTTTGTTTCACCAGGAAGGTGGAATTCGTTTAAGAAGGAAACTCCTCGTAATTCTGTGGAACTCATGTTCTAGCTAGAACAGTAGAGCATTTGCTGACCTATGGTTCATTTTGAAAGGGCTAGGGAACAAGGCAGTTCAACCTCCTGAGAATGACATCAGATTTGTTATGGAAGTGTTAGTCTCTAACAGAGTACGTGTGGTGTAAGCCCAGCTTTTATCTCTCTGTATTGTGCCTTTGTTTAGGGAATAAAACTTATGTATTGGTTGTGTTATGAGTTGACTAGTGGTGACAGGAAATGAAGAAAGGTTCAGTCATGTGGGGCTCTTTGTTTAAACAGCTGTGTGAGGACAGGATTGGGTCTGAGAAACTGGACTGGATAGGCCTTTGCTCCCCTTTTCTACACAGATTGTCACTCAGGCTCGGAGTTCGGCACCATCTACTCATCCACTCAACCCTCCATCTTGGGCTCCCAAGTTTTAATGCCTAAAATTCCCATTCCTGAGTTGAATCCATGAGCTGTGGTGGCAGGGTGTGTGGGAAGAAATTGGTGAAGAAGAGTGAGAATTGTCTGCTCAATCCTGAGAGTGGGGACTGGACAGATAGAGAAGAAAAGGCTATTGACTCAGAAACTGCCTGGTTCAGCCAAGCAGAACTGAACTGTATCAGCACATGTGTGAGCTACTGTGTTATCCCAGTCACTTGGGAACGGTATCACTGCTTTGTTTATCAGTGGGTCTAATCACCCTCAACTCCCTTTGACTTCAAGCATTAAGATTCTGCCTAGTGGCAGTTGGAAAATGAGACTTGCAGTGACTGACTGAAGAGAACCCCTTTTGGAGCTCCCACCGCAATGTTATGATGAGCTCCTCAGCTGCAGCTTAAAGGCCCAACAGAGATTTTTTTTATTTGACTTGGGGGATTGCTTTCAGACATGAAGCAAACAAGTGATTAAGTATAAAGAAGATGTGGTAATGAGTTTCAGATGGGGCCTTTTATGTTTGTTAAAAGAAGTCCAAAAGTTTGCTGCTGCTACTATTTCTTGTTTTCTAACTTAAAAAGTCATCTTTGAATCTCATACTGCACACAGCTTACAAACTGCAAGATCCTATTATTATTACTGTAAAAAAAGTCTTAAATATGACATAAATCCAATAGAATATAGATTCACCCCCCAACCACCCT